CAATAACAATAGCTGCAAAAGACGAACAACGTAAAGACCGGACCATCCCTGTTGTTGAAGTTATCATCTTTGAAAATCTTCTTTTCAATCTCTTTTACTTTCTCTCTCAAACTTCTCAAACGCTTCCAACGCTTCTTTCTCAAGCGGCCATTCTCTTCAATCTCTCTATCCCAAATACACCTCATCGCTTGAATAAGTAGACATAATCTCAATCAGAGATATTCCAAAAAGTGTCTGAAGCTGAGTCGTGATGGTTTTCAAGAATAATTTGTCCGGTCGGATTCTTCTCAAGTTCTTCAAAGTCTCGAGTGTTTTCCTTCGGCATGAACTGATGGCTTATGGTCGGCCGGTTTGGGAGGTAACCCGCGATCGGATACTGTCTGAAGTTAACCGCAGCGTGAAGAGCGGAGGCCACCCAAATGATTATAGTGCATGACTCAATGAGTTCTTCACGGTTTTGCATTTTTGGCCACCAAGATTCTGACTTTTTGTCCCTATGACCTTCCTCGCGCAACTCCTTCCACCAAGCTTGGAGTTCGTGGTCGTTTTGAACATCCTCGTCTGTCTTGTAATACAAGAAAATGTAGTCTTGGACCCATGATTCGATAGCAGACCAAACATCAAGCCTATCCACAACGTCTTTTATCCTCAGACGTAAATCTTGTGGCACCTCTGGATCTTCAACGGCCATCCCTCTGCAATAGAAAAGCCATCACAGTTAAGACAAATTAAAATATTGAAAGATTGATTTCCCGATTTACGCCTACATAAGGCATTGCCAACTGACACATCGAGTCCTTGACACCTTCAACAGGCGTATAAAATTCACTCACTGCTCCAAATTTGTCTCCGTCAGGATTAGCAAAGCTCAGTTCTATCACCAATGGCTTCAAGGTCCCATCATCGATAATATTTTTAAAATAAACATAATGAAAATTTGTTTCAGCAATCCATTCTGATGTATCACCCAAGCCTCAAGACATGTATACCAAGTAAAACGAAATGAAAAACCTAAACTAAAAAGATCGATTATAAATAAGAAAAACAAATAAAATATATCTATATACAGCTTAATAGTTGCATA